AATAGCATCTACAAGTAAGGCATCTACAAGTACTGAGGAAAATCTGGGGGCGGGGGGGGGGGCAAGAAGCCACTACAAGAGGCCTAGGCTTCAAGGACATGGTGTATTTGTTGCACAATCTGGTTTTACAAGTATTAATGTAAGTGTATTTTTTTTGTCCTTATATCTTATTGTCCAACTTACTATATGATATTATTGTCTAACTTTAAAATGTATCTTTTGCTTTGAATGTTATCAGCATGGTTTGCCTACAGCCAGAAAGGTTTATACTGGCCCTTTAATTGATTCTACCCATGTTACTGGTAATATTGGATATAAGCCTTCTAAAGGTTTGAAATGGAAAGGGAAGAAAGTTGTGACTCAAAGACAACTTCAAGTCCAAACTGCAATGGCTAGAATCAAGACAAGGTTCCAATCCGGTGGAATACAAACAAGATCTAAGGTTATCGGGAAATCTCCCTCCAAGAAGACCACTTGAATTTCTTTACTGTTTGGATGTAGTATTTGATATACTAGACTTCTTTTTTTGTTAAATTCATGGGGTGGCTGTTTTAGTTGAATTCATGGGGTGTCTATTTTTGTGATACTGATGGTGGTACTAAACTTTATTTTGTGAACTTGTTTGTCATGTGTATGTCTAGCTGTATATGGACAGAATAGTTTAACTCTATTGTTAGATGTTAAATTCCGACTTTCTTTGTCAAATTACCAGCCATGTTGACAAAATGTTGTGATTGTGATTGGTTGTTTTTGTGGATAGTAGTGTCGAACAACATATCATATTGCTTAACTTCTATTACATACTACCAGATAACCATTATTTGTACATGAACAAAATCAGATTCAAAAGTAAACTGAAAAATAATAGAAACTTTAGCATTCTTTCCCTCTTCGATAGTTTGTTAGTCTTCTTCAACAATCTAGAAATAACAATGTTTGCTTGCTCCGAAAATGGAGGTTCATACCACTGAAAAAATCAACAAGAATTTGTCTTCGGATAAAGACTACATCCAAAGAATCGTTGCCCAAGATTTGCAGTAGTCCACGCAACTTTTAAAGGAGCTGGCTTGCCACATCTACAAAAAACATTCATCTTCTATCTTCCAAGTAAAAAAATGACTGTTATTTGGGCAAAAAATAAGAGCCAAAATCTTAGGGGGAAATGGAATTTGGCTAGACAAAGATTGTGAGAAGATTGTGGCTGAAGACTTAGAAAGAAGCCAATAAATAGGGGTTGTTACCGTTGGGGGAAATTATTACCGTTAGGGATGGTTCTAGGATTGGGAAAGGGAAATATTCAATTGATGTGGCAAAAAATATACTCCCCCACGCGCACTCAGTCATTTGAACAAACTTTCACTGCCATGTGGCAGGTTAGGGGGGGTAATAAAATTCGAAAAAGTAAGCATATGGGGGTAATTAAAATCACGTATAGTTAAGGTGTACACTCATTAAAAAGTGTCAAGTTTAGGGGGGTCTTTACCTATTCTGCCTATATTAATGAGTTTACATAATTATTGGCTAGTTTTGGAGCAATGTGTATCGATTTGAGTTTTCGGAAGGGCATGGAATAACGGTTATGGAACTTCGGAGCGAGGTGAGTCTCATTTCTAACCTTGTAAGAGGGAATTGTCCCCATAGGTGAGTTAATTGGTTATGTGCTCCTATTTGTGGGGGCTACGTACGCACGAGGTGACGAGAGTCCGTGCGTAGCTACTATCATGCTTATGTCCGGGTAGTCTAGGAACCAAAATCATATTTTACTTGTGATAATTGTAACCTTATTGATAGTTTAAATTGCTTAAATCATACCGAAGTGGCAAATGATTTTCTAAAAGAGTAAAACTTCATTTTCATGGCTTGTAAAAAAGAGAAATTTACACCTCCTCGAATAATTGTCTCCTCGATGAATGTCTTGAATGATTGTTTGAGTATGTGTTTCTATGTGTACCTGCGTCGCATGTATGATTCGCGAGCAGGGTGATTGTTTATTTATGTTTGACCGCGTCGCATGTATGATTCGCGAGCGGGGTAATAGATACATCTATGGTTCACGCCATTCGACCCTCTAGCAGTGCACAGTTTAAATATTGTTGGATCAGGCCGTACGTCCTCGGCATGATTTGCGCATGCTTGTATTACTTGCCTTGAAATTTATTGAAGTGATGTTGTTTCTTCCCGGTTTGAGAATAAATGTATAAATGATGAAAAGGGATTTGGGAATTTCCTATAAAAGAAAGAATTGCTTAATTGCTTCACTTTATTGAATTACAATCATGCTTATATAAATCCTCAATTTGTTACATTATCGATTTATCATTATTGGACCACTAGTAAGTGTCGAAGTCGACTTCTCGTCTCTACTTCTTCGAGATTAGGCGGGATACTTACTGAGTACACGTTGTTTTCGTACTCATGCTACACTTGCTATGCATTATGTTGCACAGGTACAGGTATTTTTAGCGGCCTACTGGGCGTAGCAGCATGGATGATATGGAGACTAGGTGAGCTGCATTTCTCGAGGCGACCCGCAGCCAGTATAGTCTCTTCCAGTGTATTGTATTTACTTCTATCCAATTTGTATTTTGGACAGTGATTGTACTTTATTCGATCCTCTTAGTAATTGCTCATGCACTTGTGACACCACGTTCTGGGATGTCCATGGGATTATTCAATATTTGAAATTGTGTAGTTAGTTCCATATCCCTTGTTCCTGTAATGAGGGCTATTATGTCTAAGGATCTTCCATTGTCGTATCGTTTACGGGAAGCTGGGTACCGGGTGTATACTCGACGCACGGCGCCTCCTAGGAGACACTGGAATCGGCATTTCCTGAAGGGTAGTAAGAAGGGGGGTTCGGGTGCGCTTCTTCTTCCTGCCGGTTCAGGAGCTTAGGCCCAAGCGGTAGTAGTTTCCTAGTTGGAGTTGGCACACGTAGGCCCGACACCAGAGGTTGGTTGGCGCATTCGGTAAAGCATTCCGCTAGCTGGCGCATAGCAAGCAAGAAAGCTCAAAGCCAGCAGTAAGGTCCGCACGCTAAGAGAAGAGGAGAGATGTTCGCAATTACTACCACAAGAAAGCCGCCCCCTATCTTCTAAAGGGGCCCGTCACTTTAAAGATATTTTTATTTATTTAGTGGAACTTATTCTTTATTGTTTAAATATATAAAAGAAGTAAATTAAGAGTTATGTAAAACAAGAAGTTACTAATTAATTAGTGTTGGCTTGCCTGACAATAGTGTCCGGCGCCATCACGGCCCTTAGTGGATTTTGGGTCGTGACACTTTATGGGTTGTAACTGGATGTTGCGTGCGAGCAAGAAGAAATCAGGGTTGTGGAAAGTGGGTAAATATATTAGCACCCACAGATGTGAAATGGACACATTCAATGAGAATCACTTCAACTTGGATGTAGACTTGATTTCTCTTGTCTTGATTCCATACTTGGAAGTGTCCATTAGGTTCAAGATCAACGAGTGTATTACAGCCGTCCACCAGGAATATGGGTGTACTATAACCAAAAGAAAGGCATATCTCTGGCACAAACGTGCTTTTGAAATTATTTATGGTGACTGGGATAAGTCATTTTCATCTCTACCCAGATACATGGCCGCACTGAAACACTTTAACCCCGGGACTGTTGTTGAATGGAGCATAAGCGGAGTCCGGACTGGAATACATTTTCAAGTATGTGTTCTGGTCATTTAAACCAGCAATTGATGATTTTGTGCATTATCGTCCGGTAATTTCCATAGACGGTACTCATGTCTATGGAAAGTATGATATTAAACTTTTGATCGCAGTTGCAGTAGATGCCAACGGACAAATATTTTCACTAGCTTTTGCCATTTGTGCCAATGAAAGCGAAGAGACGTGGACGCTTTTTTTGAACCACTTGAA